TAATGTGTACACCAATCAAGCAGGGGCCTTCAACATGCAGATTCTGATTCAGTGGATGTGGGTGTGCCTGAGCATCTCTGTATCTCTAAGAAGCTCACAGACGATGTCTCTGCTGCTCATCTGTGGACACCACCGGAGACAGATATCTCTGCAGGGGAGAAGGGGGTTTCTAGGGTTGTGCACTCTTACCAAACCAAGCCGATTAACCAACACAGAGAAAGCCGGGGCGGGGGGGGGGGTGGGGGGTGGAGATGGGCAACAGAGTGGGGAAGAGGAATAATTATTTTGTTTCTACCTGGAGCTAGTTGTACCTGGTGCCAGTTCCTCATTCCAGTCTCACAGGCCAATAAATCTACTTTTTGCTTAAATAAGGTGGAGTTGGGTTTCTTCACCGGCAACCAAAAGAATGCAGACTTTAAACCTTCTTTCCACAATATCTAACGGTATGCAAACTGTGCCGAGCAAAGCTATTCCTCATTTGCTACCTTTGCAACCTACCTACCTTAAAGAAGTATGAATTCTGACTCACGGTTATAAGAAATAAGTAGAAACAAATATATAATATCCAAAGTATTCACTACATGTTTGAAATTTCAAATTTTTATTATATTAGTCATCATCTAAGTAAGGTTCATATAATTCTTTTAAGGGCTCCCTTGGATTAATTGAGTGGGGGAAAAATGGTATTGGTTACAAATGTTGATTTCCACTCTGCTAGCATCCTGTGCTCTCACATGGCTTCTCCGTGGGTGACTACACCTCTGGAACCAGGAAAGGGCACTGTGCAGCTTCAGTCTGTTGAGAGGGGTGGACATTTGTAGAGCTAAACCAGTATTCCAAATGACTTACTGTTAGGTCCTAAAGTTCCACCAAGTTCACATGTGTCTACCAACTACGCTTAGCCATAAAAGTGTAAGCTAATTGTTTTTCACTCACCTTAAAGACAAGTTGAGATCATCCCACATTTTTAAAATTAAGCTCTCTGGCAACTGCACTGTGGATTAAATCAGTCCTCTCTTCACGTGGCATAAATTATTAATCACCCTCGGAGAATGGAAGGGTGGCAATTCTGAAGACAAGGTTAAGTAAGCACTTAAAGAGGTCTTCTTAGTGAAAAATGACTCATTGTTCTGAGAGGTGATAATGTCACAGTTCTCAAAAAAAAAAAAAAATAGAAGATATTCCCATCATAAGTACAATTAGTGGAGTAATTAAAAAATTCACAATCCTTTTCTTAGAGGAATTCTTTTTTCTGTCTCCCCCTCATTTCTCCCTTTCTTTTAATTCATCCACATCAGTGAGCTAATGGTGGGTGGTTCAGGCTGTCCTGGCCCACCCTCGGACAGACTTACTATTCTTGTAGCTTTTTAGAAATCTTACGGCCTCTCTTCAGACCTTTTGCATTCAAAATAATCTGGTCCTCTCTGCTAGAAGAATTTATTTTTAATCGAAGCAACATTTTATTAAAACCTTCCTTTTGTGAGACTAGAATAAACCAAGACAGCAAAACAGTGTTGGCAGGTCAGCTCTAACCCAGGGCCTTTACGTGCTTTTCCCTCAGGAGGCCTGTCTGTTGCCCTGGACCTGGATGAGGGGTTTGGCGTGGGTTCCCGTAGCCTCCCCTACTTTCCCCATCGCACCACACTCATTCACTTTTCTGAGTCCCTCCCTGCCTTTTCCCACACCCCTCTACACAATTAAGTGTTTAGCACAAAGTTAGTGTTTTAAATCTTTGTTTACTACATGGACAAGAACGTTGGAACATGCTAGATTACAGCCAATTTAATTCATAATGTGAGGGGCGCCTTTTATGCTTGTCAGTTGCTTGCATAGGGTTGATACAGTCTGCTTTGAGAACATTCAGTTTGCTCTTTTTATTTTTTTCCAATGTATTCACACGAAAAGGTTTACTTTTCCTATGTAAAATAAAGTTACCAGCTACAAAGTCCTGGGTGGTGTGCTTACATCCAAAAACTTCAAATCCAAAGTCATAACCAAGGGTTTGATAGTATCAATGAAATAAAAAACAAATTAAGTATCTTTTAAACACTGTCCCAAGGTAAGGAAGGAACTTTTACAGTTTTTTACTGCCATTGACTTATATCAACAAGTACCACTAGGGGGTGCCTCATCTCTTCTTATTTCAGTAAACAGAAGGCTGCATTGAAGGCACATGTTGCTACATTCATAAACCAGTATCTCCATTCTTCATTGTATACGCAAGTCACTTTATTCTCAGGTTTCTTAGCAGCCCTTACATTGGCACCTAGAAACCAATAATTTCATTCTTGTTTATTGAATACTAATCAATTTATTCTTATGATCACTTTCCTTAATGAAGTGAATTCTAAGTATATATATATTTTTTCTATTTTCATGGCTCCACTGACATACTAAGAAAGAAAGTGTTCATATCAAAAGTGATAAACTTTTCCATTCCAAAACTAGATAACAATTATATATGCTTAAAAAAATTAAAGAAAAAAAGATTTAGCAACAATTAAATTAACAATTAATTTCTAAAATTTTGTAAGTACATAGGACAGGTAAGTATCTCAGTAACCTTTTCATGATATCCCAGGCCAAATATATGTATATCCAAAGTCCTGTTTATTAAGTAGTCAGGTTTAATAACAGAAGTATTTAGGTTCTCACACCTTAAATAGCTTTGTTTCTTTTTTCTAATAAAACATATAAACAGAAATAAAAAATATCATTTTATTATTTTGTACTTCTACTAGTTACCATTTGCTGCCTAACAAAATAGCCCCAAAATTCAGTGGCTTAAATAAATACCTATTATCTTATTATGTTGTGGGTCAGCAATCTAGGCTGAGCTGACCGGCTGTGTCGCAGGATCTCTGATTGCAGTCAAGAAGTCACCTGGGCCTGCAGCCACCTGAAGGCGTGGCTAGGGCAGGAAGAGGGGCTTCCCAAATGGCTCATTCACATGGCTATTGGCAGGAGGCCTCAGTTCTCTGCTGAGGAAAACAGGCTCAGTGCCCTGGCCTGTGGGCACCTCCACAGTGCTGCCTCAGTGTCTTCACAACACGGCAAGGGGCTTCCCCCGAAGTGGGTGGTCCAGGGAGAAAACACGGCAAAGGTTGCAATGCCTTCTACGACCCGGACTCGGAAGCCTCACATCATCACTTCTGCCATACTCTGTTTTTTAGAAGCTAGTTACTAAGTTCAGCCCATGTTCAAGGGGAAAGGGATTCAGCTCTATCTCTTAAAAGAGCATTGAAGAGTCCAGCTGGTGTGGCTCAATGGTGGAGCATCAACCCATGCACTAAGAGGTCGCCGGTTCGATTCCCGGTCAGGACACATGCCGAGGTTGTGGGCCTGATCCCCAGTGGGGTGTGTGCAGGAGGCAGCCATTCGAAGTCCTCTTTCATCAATGTTTCTATTTCTCTCTCCCTCTCTTTTCCTCTCTCTCTAAAATCAATAAAGAAAAAACAAAATTTAAATATATATATATACACATATATATTAAAAAGCCCAGCCAGGTGGCTCCGTTAGTTGGAGCATTGTCCCGAACACTGTCCCAAACATCCTTGGTCCAGACATGTCCAGGAGACAACTGATGATGTTTCTTTCTCACGTCCATGTTTCTCTCTTTCTCTTTTCTTCTCTCTAAAACCAATAAATACATCCTCAGGTAGGAATTTTTTTTAAAAAGATTACTGAATAATTTTGGACACAGTTTATAACCACTACACTACACTTACAAGTGAGGTGCGTGCACCCGTCAGAACAGTCTGAATAGAAATGAAAATAAGGCAGAGAAGGGCATATTTGCTCTCTTCCAAAGCTGGACACCCTGCCCTCGAACCTAAGCACTCTGGTTCTCGGGCCTCTGGACTCAGACTGGGACATAAACCACTGTCTGCCCTGGTTCTCGGGCCTTCGGGTTTGGGCTTGAACTACAACAGCGCTTTCCTGGGCCTTCAGCTCACAGATAGCAGATCATAGACCTTTTCAGTCTCCACAGACACGTGAGCCAATCCCTCATAATAAATCTCTTTCTACACACCTACGTGCACACATCTTACTGTTTCTCTGGAGAACCCTGAAGAATATAGGCAATCTACACTCAAACTCTGGAACCAGATTAGAAACCACTCTCCTGCCTGTTTCACACTGATTTTCACGTGCTACCTGCCCTTCATCACGGCGACCACTGAACACCCGCTTCACAGAGATGCGTCTTCTAAGCAAGTCATGCAGCACAGCCTCAGGCTGCAGCCAGGAGCCACCTCGAGCTCGTAGTTCATGCAGCGGCCAACAGGTGTTGCTGTGCTTCCCTGGAATTTTCAAGGAGGCCACGTATGCCCTCTGACTGCACTGCTGTCCCCCCAGAGGCTCAGGGCACAATTTGGGAACCACAGACTTAATGACCTTCTTCTCACAGATGAGAATTAAGGTTGAACGCATGTTTGAAAAATCTTTCCAGATATGCAAAAAAAATAGTTTATTGCTCCAGGAGCATCAGAGAAGAAACATGAGGAGATCCATGGTATTGAAATAGAATGAGTTTCATTTTGATACAAATGCTTGAAGGATGTAAAAACACTCTAAGGACAGAACACTTTTCCTAACGTGTTCTAAAACACCCATTTTAGCCAAATATCAGCTGGAGACGAAGAAAAAGCAATCCAAGAATTTAAAAATACAACTTAATTTTTTTTTTTTTATCCTCACCCGAGGACATTTTTGCATTTATCTTCAGATAGAGCAGGAAGGACAAAGAGAGAGAGAGAAACATCAGTGTGAGAGACACATCAACTGGCTGCCACCCACATGACCCCAACGGGGGCCGGGGACAAACCGCAACCGAGGTACCTGCCCTTAGCGGGAACCAAACCCAGGATTCTCTGGTCCGCAGGCCGACACTCTAACCACTGAGCCAAACCAGCCAGGGCACAACTTAAAATTTTTTTGAAAAAATATTAGTAGCCAAAAAATAATTCCCTCCTTTTCTTCTTTTCTTTTTTATAAAGACCTAGTATAGCAAATGTTAAGACAAAGCACACCAGACATTCAGAAGGAGGTCCAACCCAGTCTATAGAATCCAGTGCAGTCGCTTTTCTTTTTGTGTGCACTCTGCTACCAAAACCGATCATTCCCTCCTTTTCATAAAAGTTTTCCTTTTCCTTTTCCGATATAATGGTACTTTCGTGTCAGCCTGGAGTCTGTGCCAAATGATTACATAGCACTCTCCTCGCTCACAGGAAGTTAGTCTCCAATAAAAAGAAAACTCAGGTAATGAAAGCTCTTCCTGTTAATTGCAGCAGAGAGAAAAACAAAACCAAAGAAAACAAAAAAAGACCCAACATATTTCTCTTTGCTCCTTCCTGAAACCCCACTACAATAACAAAAATTCATTTTTAAGGGCATGATCCCACAAAAACAGAGAAAGACGAGGTGATGATAGCAGATGATTATTGTCCACAAAATATGGAGAGATGGAAAGCTGTTACTCTAGCGATAAACGACTTCCGTTTCAGTGTTCTCTGCTCTGCTAAGCACCCAAAGAAGAAAATGCCAACTAGAAGCTGGTTGAGTCATGCCACGGAAACCCAGGACATTCCCATCAATAGAAGATCCAGGGGCTTCTGAAAGCATTGGGTTTGCATCTAGAACTAAAAACAGGAGACTTTGTTAAAAGCCTGAATAAAGAGTTAATATGATGTTCAATGAGTCTACTTTCAGGAGTGAGACCTCTAGTTCCCCTCCACACTGGGCCCTGAGCAAGCTCACACTCCATCCTCGAGACAGTAGAGAAGCCCCCTGGAGCAACTGTCTAGCCCTATAAATACGAGCAGCGGGAGCCCCATAGCAAGACAGCCAGATCACACCACAATGACACCTGCCATCTGATTAGTTTTACATGCACATAGAGCTTGCGATCAGTATTTCAGTACCTCACTCTTTAATTAATTTTCAAAGAACTTACATTAAAATTTCCAGATCAGAACAAAGACCTCTGCATCCATTTTATTCAAGTTTCCCAAATGTTAGCATTTTACTAAATATAGATGAAGGTCAACTCACTGTTGTGTCCAATCAATCTCTCTCTCTCTCTCTCTCTCTCTCTCTCTCTCTCTTCCCCAGCGTGTGTGTGTGTGTGTGTGTGTGTGTGTGTGTGTGTGTTTAGGAGGTCATATGCCCATTATTACTTGTTGTACTCTGAAATTTTTAAAAGAGAGCTTAGCTATGAGGTCCCATCACTCAAAAAGGTCTGTGCTTATTTCCCCAAAGCAAGGACACTCTCTCATTCAAGTTTTGCCAACTGTTCTGGTCCAAGGTTTTACCAAGAAATATGTGTTGCATTTAGTTCTTATATCTGTTCAGACTCTTTCCAGCTGAAACAGTGTTTTCAGTCTTTGATGTCCTCCGTCTCGCAGAGCACAGCGTCATCCCCGGGCTGACCCTCGGTGCTCCTCAGGACCAGACTCGGGAGTGTGTCCTTGACAGGAGCACCATGGAAACCAGGGTGTGCTTTGCTCAGTGCATCTCATCAGGGCTTTCAAACTTAACAAAGAGACAAACAAAAACAAAGGCAAGTAGTAAGTCGGAGAATTCTTTTTTAAGTACATGAAAGGCAATAAAGCCAGAGTTCACTATCATAACGAACTGGGAAGAGTCAGAGTCTTGACCCTACTTTCAAGACAACAAATTAGCCTGCCACAGTTTCACAGGTACTGGCAACAGACACAAAACCCCTGGATGGTTTTGACCAGGGCAAAGGATGGTTTGAAGAATGCAGAAGAGCAAGCAGCAGAAGTTTCATGATTACTCTGGCCTCCTTGCTTCAAGTCCCTTTGGAGGTGACAAAGACCGACTCAGATAGACGCTGCTCACACAGTGGGGTTTGTATCACAGCTGAAGGACCCTGAGCTTTGGGAACACTATTCTTTTATAATGGGAAGAAAGCAAACCTGCATGATCTTTGCCTCAGAAAAACATTATCTTTGTCATACGGGACAGCTAACAAACCTGTCCTCTGCCCTGGAGGGGACACTGGTGCCGACTTCCAAGGCTGTCCACTGCACACAATTCCTGAAATGGGAGGAACACACGTCATCAGTGCCTCTGCTTGTAAGATGTGCAGAAATGCAAGAGACCCGTGGAGGATGGTCTCCCAAAGACGATGTGACTCACCTCTGAAAGTCACAATACAGTAAACTCTGGATGTGGACTTAACCAAAAATTATGACTTAAATGTCATGAAAATGGGGAGGAAAGGGAACAGGGTGTTGTGGAAGGTGACTTTAAAGGCAGTAAATCCTAATATTCTATAGCAGAAAATAATTAGATAGCATCTAAAATAGAAAATCAAGAACGAGAAGTAAAAATGCCTTACTTTAAAGGGAGAGAGAGAGAGTAAGAAGTAACTAACGTGCTGAATGAGGTGCTGCCTCCAAGGAAGTTTTCATGAGATGGGAGAGTAAGAACAAATACCTGTTTGTTTTTTTCAGTGTAAGCTATTCAACATTAAACTCTGCACATGATTCTTTTCATAAAAATTAAAATACAATTTAAAGAGATAGGGATCCTGAGCATAATAGTTTAATTATAATCATTAGATTATAACTGCAGGAAATTTAATCTGCCCTAAACATCTCTGAGGACCTTTGGGAATACAGTCACCTCCTTTTTTTGAAAACGTGGCTTTTAAGGGCATAAAGCCAGCCCCCATATCAGAGGTCTACAGGACAACCCCTTTAGCCCTGGTGGGTGTAGTTGGATTTCACTCTAGCATCCATCCACTCCAGCTCAATGATCGCATGTCCTCTCAGAGAACTTTGGCAGAGGACAATGACAACCAGTTCCAACCTGAGTTAGCCAAAAGGCTATAGAAGAAATTCCCTCAGCACAAGGTAAGGGCTGGAATGCCCCCGGTAATTAGCAAAGACTTTTGTGTTAAATAGCATGTTTTCTAAACTGGGATATACTGACATTGACAGTGACCTTATTCTTTATGATGCCAGACCAATAGGCATAAAGGGGGTAAGGGTCACAGTTGTATGAACAAAAGAATATTCAAGAAAGAAAAAGGAAGTGTAATTTACCACATGTCGAACCTGTGAATATTCCTTATAACAACGTGAACTCTGATCCAAACAAAATTACAACATCTCCTGTGGGGGTCCAGAACCAGCCCCCCCAGGATGTGCCTTGGTGGCATGCATATTACTTCGAGCTGATGGCAATTTTAGCTGCAGGCTCCGGAGAAACTCCTGCCCCGTTTCCCACCACTACCACACCACCACCATCACCGCCTACTACTTAAAAGAATTTGAATTGAAGGGTTTGCCCATAATATGAGATTATTTAGTTATAACCTTTCCCACCCACCTATATGGCAGAGCAAACTTTTATTTACTCAACATCTACTTTTCTTATTATCTTGCAATGACCCTTTGAAGACCTCAAGGGGCACTACCTCATCCCTAGCTCAGAATGTCATATGCCTCCATCCCCCTTTGTCTCTGAACCTCTCATGTATGCGGGGTTCCTGCACGCAGGATGTTAAACTTGACTTTCTCTTGTCAATCTCCTGTTGATGTGATTACTCGGACAGTCAAAAGAATCGGAGGAAGGACAGGGGAATGTTTCGCCTCCCCCACAAACCAACCGTGGAAGGATGAGTTCCTAGGAAGGGTACAAGGTGCGGTGAGGATAGGGGAGGAAAGAGAACTGAATCCTCGCCTTCCACAGTGAGACCCTGACAGATGACGCCTAACAGTGCAACACCAGGAAGTAGCCAAGTAAACATGTTATTTAGAGAAAAAAGGTAGATACAAAACTTAGCAACTAAAATGGGTGAATGTAGTTCCTCTTGGGAGAAGATGGACAAAGAAGAAACAGGGATTGTTGTTTTCCCTAATCATTTGACTCTAAGCTTCACACATTTGTATCTTTGATGTGAATGAAAAGGGAAGAGAAAAAGAAAGGAAAGATGGAAGAGAGCAAGGAAAAGAGGGAGAGAGCAGGATGTCTACTTTTCATCCGGTAGAACTAAAAATATTAGTGAAAATGTCAAGTTTAATCTACATTTGACTGGATTTTCCAAGGTATACTTATTTTGTTCTGGTGGGTTGAAGACAAAGGGGTGGGCAAATTCTTCAAAAGAAATAAGACACCCTAAATGTTTACAAACATGGGGAAGTGAGGGCAAGCGAGATGCTACTGTCGCGTGCCTCGGAGATGCTTACTCAGAAATGGGTTCTGAAGGGTTTGCTTTCAAAGCCATGATCAGTGGGCTTTCAATTAGTAGAGTTTTCAGTTAAGAACAGGTATTGCTGAGCCATCTGGTAAAAGAAAATTGTGAAAATAAAGGGGCGGGGAGATACTTCTATCCCCACCTTTTCTGCTTTGCCATGTTCTTGTGGTTGCTACTACTTTGCCCTAATATACACTGGCTTTTCTAAAGACACCAACTGCCTGACTGCAATTTGATGTTCAGAAATCTTCACCAATATGTACTGATTAGAACTAAAGAAAATGTGGTGTAGAGGACACTTCCTCGTTGACCTGCCTTCCTCAGGAGTTCAGGAAAAGGTCATTTTAAAACTTGCACCAAGGATACATTTTGTGCAAAGCCCAGTATAGAGGTTATGACCAGAGGCTGCTTCCAGGGAGATCTATATCCCTGGGGTCCCCAAACTCTCTGTTACTGGGACCTATTTTTTCACCTTCCCTAAGTACATTTACTTAAAAAGCCATGAAAACTTTGATAGGTAAAAAGCTCAATTAACACCAACTCCTAATAAGAGTGTCCATAGCATTACTTTTTATAGGATTCCATTATAGAGCATGTATTAATTTAACTCAAAAATAGAGAAATAATCTAACTTAAGGTCAAAGTTGCTACTCAAACAGCCACCAGCTTCTACTCGCATAGTGTAGCCAAGCACAGCAGGACCAAAAAAGAAGACACATCTAGGACTGAATTCTTACTCCATGAGTGTCTCGCTGTGTGATTTCTTGACATAGTTAACCACTCTTGACATAGTTAACCTCAGTCTCTTTATCTGTAAAATAAAGAAGCTAAGGTTTTCTTTACTATGGTAAGTATCTTACTGAAGGAGGACATTTAACAAATGTTAGAGATCTCTTTCCTCTTATTTCTTGGGGC